CATGCTCTTTAAGGGTAAGGAAAGTAGGTGGAATAAGAGACTCTCTTGGCTTAAATGTGAGCTTTTGAGTCTGCTCAAAACCAAAAGACAAGTGTACCAGAGATGGAAAACCCATGGAGAGCCACGGGGGTATTGCCGGGGTGAGCAGATGCAGTTAGAAAAGTAAAAGCTCAGCTCAAATTGGAATTGGCCAGAGGTCAAAAACACAAAAAAGGGTTCTTCAGGTACATGAACAACAAACAGAAGGAAATACTGGCCCACTGTTCAGCAGCAGAGGTGAACTGGTCACCCATAATGCTGAAAAGGCAGAGTTTCCCAACACATTCTTCACCTATGTCTTTACCCTGGGACACAGGTACTGGGATCAAATATTCAGGTTTATAGAAACACCCAGAAATGCTGTCAGTGAAAGAAGAACTTGTTTGTGAACTATCACAGGAGCCTGACCCCTACAAATTGATGGGTTCTGATGTTACACATCCAAGGGTTTTAACAGAGATGTTTGATGTCATTCCGAGGATGCTCTCCATAATTTTGGAGAAGTTGTGGATATCAGGGAATGTGCCAGAAGACTATAAGAAGGTTAATGTCTGCAAGAAGGGCTTAAAGGAGGATCCAGAAAATTACAGGCCTGTCAGTTTTACTTCATTCCCTGGGGAAGTTGTAGAACAAATTCTACTGGGGGCTATCACAAGTCAAATGAAGCACATGATCGGGAAAAGCCAGCAGGGATTCACCAAAGGCAAGTCATGCTTGACAAACCTGATCACCTGACAACACAATGACCTGCTCACCTGATGTGGGGTGAGCAATGGACAATGTCTCCAAGGCTTTCAATTTGTTTTCCCAGAGACTCCCCTCCTACAGTAATGGAGACATTAGGATCTAGACAACTGGTCCATGCAGTGGATGGGGAACTGGCTAACCAGACACAGCCAGAGGATGGTGGTAAATAAACTCCTTTTCAAACTGTCTGCTGTGACAAGTGGAATCCCCCTGGGATTGATATTGGGCCCATATCTGTTTAATATCTTCATAAGTGATCTGGATGGGAACAAGTGTATCCTGATGAAGGTTGCTGGTAATACTAAGCTGGTGGGGAAAGTGGACACTTTGGGAGGGAGAAGACCTGGATAGGTTGGAAGAGTGGGCTGCCAAGAACCTTATAAAGTTCCACAAGGAAAGAATTTGCACCTGGGAAAATACAGTCCAGGAGTGCAGCACAGGTGGGGATCTGTCTGGCTGGGTACCAGCCAGAGGACCTGAGGGTCCTGGTAGAGAGCAAGCTCAGTATGAGTGACCAGGGTGCTGCTGCTGCAGCAAAGAAAGCCAAGAAAGGCTGGACCAGGGTCCCTTCAAACTGGTACTATGTGACACTAGGATCAAACTGAGATCTTACAGCCTAACTACAGGTAGCAATTTGTCAGCCCTACGTAACTGGATGTCATTCACTGTGGATGACTGGTCTGCTTTTTAAAGAACATACGTGAAATTATTCATCCTTATTAGAAATGTGGTTCAATAAATACCTTAAAATAAACTGTAACAGACTGAATAATTTTCAGCCAGAAAAAATATGCATAGGAAGAAAATTTCACACCCAAAATGGCAAAGTAGTTCAAATGTTTCTGTTAAAACACTAAAAAAGATCAACACAAAAGTTTAATGATGCAGTCTCAAGCTTGCAGACACAGGAAGCATGCTACCATAAAATCAGGGGAAATAGATTAGCAATCTAGAGACCAGATGGTTAGTATTTACTTGCTGACATAACACCGCCAAATGTTCCTAAATTTCTTTTTTAAATTTGTCTTTCACATTACATTATCAGGATAGGAACTGATCTTGAAAACATATACATAAAGATTTCAATATATTTATTCATTTGGGTAGTCCCATTGACTTTAGAACAGGAGACTGTTCAGAGAACCAGGCTGTCAGCTTGGGGTAAGTCTACAGAGTTGTAAATTATTTGCCTGCACTGAACTGGGCAGGCTAAGTGTGGGGGGAAAAATTAAATCCTGTATATATCTTTTTGTTCTGGTTTTGTTCTTTGCAAGAGAGAGCAGTTTATAGAGAATATGATAAAAGACATTCCTTGTCCATAAATTTATCTCCTGGTCTGGTGGATAACTGTAAAGCTTGTCAGGACCTGAAATAAGCAATTACAAACACTTTTACCCAGCAAACTGTTAATACCAGCATGAGAAAATGCTGCTTAATTATTACAGGATCCTCCTACAAATTACTTA